TTTATGCTCAGTCAAGAGGCTTCTCGAATGTTCTAGTAAACTGAGCACATGATAGTTTCTTGATTCCCGGGTGATGCAGGTGAGCGTGGGAATAAAGCAAAAGTGTTGCAATTCGCTACAATTATATCGAGAACAAATAGCATATATGAACAATATATTTCGACATTTACACCATTACAATATAGTTAATGTTTGAAGTTATCAAAAATGTTTGCCTTCTACCCATTAAACTGTCCAAGCATAAATATGTTGTACTGAGTTGGTTGCATGGTATTTAGTGCTGGTGAAATATTGAGATATTACAATAACTCAAAGTCTAAAGGCGATGGACAAATTTTTTGTTCTCCAGACAACCTTTTCGACTACCAAAGATGGATTGTAATGTGATAGATCTTTTCATACACAAAAATCACTATGCTAATCTAGAATTAACTGTTCCAGGCAGAAGTGCTATTTAATATATGCAGAAGTACTATGTCATATACGCTTATCAAGTGTGCACAAAAATCGTGATTTGAAGATGATGATAACCATTGTTGTTGTTGAGTAAAGAAGGAGAATTATTTGTATATATTCACATATCACTCGCACACAACCACGATATTAGCTATGTGAGTTATCGCTGAAGAAGGATAATCATTTATATCTTTCCAAACCAATGAATATAATAATAATACAAAAAAAACAACGAGATGAAGACGTATAATGTGCGTCACTCATCCAAAGTTGGTCGGTCAGCACAAGCTTCACAACAGGTTTTTCAGAGTTGTGGTAGATAGCTTTTGTACTGATGTTGCTGGGCATATTTTCTTTGGGGGGGGGGGGGATTTTTGCCAGGTCCTACTTAGTATTGGCTAATTTGGCCTTAGATTCTGGTATGTAATGTTCCTGCCAAAGGTGCGTGCACGTCTAGTTCCAATGTTTCTTTGTCACCATGCATCTTTTAATGGGACATGTCTCCATCACCTACTCTTTTTTTTGTCCAATAGTACCTTAGTATTGATGATGTTATTACTTCCACCAATGAAGTCAATTGCAAGCTGTCTGTGCAAAGGGAAAGCTCAGTTCGATAGATATATCAATTTTTGGGGCCTCTGGGACTGGAGGGGCGTTTGGTGTTACCAGTGGTTGGGCTACCTCCACTGGTCACAGAGGTAGTTCATATTTGTGGCCTCTGTGAGAGTCTAAATATTAAACGAATCCGCCAGTAACACATCTTCATTCCAATGGCTCCCATTCAGCCATAGTAAAAATAAGATCCGCCCTGAAGTCTTGGTACTTCTCCTAATCTCAGAATTCACATAGAAAGAAACTTTCACCTTTCATTTTAAAAGAGTTGGTGGCCAGCACCCAAATAAACTTGAAACTTCTAACAAGTCTATTTGAAAACAATAGAGCTAGCAGACTCAAGAATGTAATTGTATATAGAAAAAAAATTAGGATTGAAAATGCTTGATTATCCTGGATTCTGATTGATCAAACCTCAGCTAGATGTGTACGTTTCAAAGTTGTAATGCTCAATCATAACTACTATCTGTACTGTAGAGAATGTCTACCAATTATCTGTGAAAATCCTTTTCCAATAGGTTTTATATGAGACTTACATGTGGCCAGCATATAGCTGTGCTCTCAACTGCATCATTCCCAAACGACCATTGCTAACGGGACACGTATGTGAGTCTTTCATGACTGTGTGGTTGGAATAGTAACAGCATCCAGTTCCAATGGGGAAGAAAGAGGGGATAAAACTGTATACACTAAAATACAGTTACACGCTGTACAAGTGTTTAATTTTGATCACGAGAACTCATTAGCACCAACATGTCACTTCCATAAGATTTTACTCGGATACAAGTGCAGCTCAACTTCGTGTTTCTTCAAGGCAACACTGCAAAGGTGTTACTTAGATATAGTTCTACCCAAGCTAGTTGTAGAAGTTTCTGTATTACCTATTTTTATAGGCTACCTTTCTAGAAATCAATACAGAAACTCATATATACTACCTTGAGACTTAAGAGCAAAGGTTGCAGTACGTAAGCTTTATCCGTGTAGAAGGATTAGCACATGCTTACGACCTTCAGATATCCATTTAATATGGAAGTGGTAAACTACACGCGTAAACTGCATGGAAATTTTAGAAAGAATGTGTGCAATATACCCGAATATTTTCTACTAGTTATGGAAGGGTGATATTAGAAGCTGTTTCAGCTACAACACAGTGAACCTCAGGTTTAAATGGTTTCTAATTAATTAAGTCAAATTCGATATGAAACAATTCAACAGATTTAATGAAACTAATTTTTATATAATTAATACTAATATCTGTCAAATTCCTTTCTAGGCAAATGTGTGCGCCCCAAATTGAGTCTAATGTATCTAGCTGCCTTTATCATCTGTGAACTGTGGATTCCGCCATCAAGTAGGCCCAATGCAAGTGAAGAATCCATGGTTCTTGCAACGTCAGTCACATTTGAAAACTCTTAATCTTTTTCATGTCCCTCAACAGTACACTTCTAAGATTTTATTTCTTAAAATATGTTCTACCTTTTGCTCAATTTTTTCTTTGTACAGGTTTAAATTAGAATAAAATATAACACTGAAGCTAATAATTACACATAGCAAAGTTTCTCTTTTCACACGTAACAACAACATGAATAACATAAAGTCCAACTAAACATTGCCATATAAATTTGATATTTTTACAATATTGTTACGACATCGGAGGTCACGTGACCCTAGTATCACGCCACAAGCTTCTCGAACGTTCACGTTTCTTCCTGAAATATCGGGAGTTTACTAGATCTCGGTATTCTTTTATATATAAAACGGTCACAACATGACGGCAAT